AGAAATATCTAGGCACAATCATATTTGTGGATTGTTAATACTACCTTACAAATAAACTTGTTAATTAATTATAAAACAACACACAGTAATTCAACATAGCCTTTCTCATTAACATTTATTACAAAAGTATACTTAATACCTTAGTGCATGCACCAAGTGTCTTTCACTTTTTGGCTCATTTCAAAAAACAGGAAAAATAATGAAAACCCATGGCACGATATCCAGGGATAACTTATGACAAAATGTTAAACTTCAACAAAGCACAAAACCACTGATGTGGACAGTGTGGGGCATATACTCTTAATACTTAGTACACTGTTGGATAGAGAATGGTTATCAAGGCCGACCTCATGCCAAAGCCTAAATAAACATAAATGGGTCTGATGCTTGATTGTGCAAGATGCACTAGGTATGAGCTAATGCTAGTAGAAATCTGGTTCAGAATTTATCTTCAATGTCAGGGCAGATTTCTTCTTAAATTTAAAGGATTAATTTAATTGTCTAAATACATAATACATAATTACAATTATTTAAAATTTTTGTAATTGTTAAATTTAGTTATCATATTATTTCTATAAAATATTTCTTCAGCTCTTCCAAAAGGAATATAATCTCTCTTTCCTCTGACCTAAGAAGGCACTTTAAACTCTTCAAGGTTCCAACATTCTGCTTGACATTACTGTGATGTGTATACTAGACTAACTACTTTCTGTATACTCCTTGGGAAAGGAACATTTTCCATTTCAATTTCATCTTCCCTAGCAAATAAATGTTTAAGAAATGTCTATAAAATGTAGAAAACCATCTACTTCTTAGGATTGTCCTGAAGATAAATGAGGAAATATTCAAAAAGAGATTAAAATATCTGGTACAGAGTTAAAAGTTCAAAAAGAGTTAGACATTGCTCTTGTTACATTTTAAGGCAGAAACCACATAAAAAACTTTGAAAGCTCTTAGGGAAAATATTACATTAAGGCTCTAAAATCTGTATTACCAACTAGCAAGTATAATCATCTTTCAAGTCTCATGTAGGTATCACTTTGGTCAGTGATAGAGGTCAACATACTATCATCTGTGAGCCAAATCTGACCTATAGTCTGTTTTTGTAAATAAGGTTTTATTTGAACATAGTCACGCCCACTCATTTACATATTTTCCATGGTTGGTTTTGTACTACGGTATCAGAGTTGAGTAATTAAAGAGTTAAGTGGTTACTACAGAAACTATGTGGCCTACAAAGCCAAAAATATTTACTATTTGACCTTTTAAGAAAGTCTGTCAACCTCTGGCCTATGAAAACTTAAGGTTACTAAGCCCTTTTTACCTAAGACAGAGAATTCTCCTTCTATGTGCCCTTTTGACAGTTGGTGATAGCCACTTTATCAGTCTTAGGTAAACAGAAACAGTTACTTGGGGCAGAATGCTACAGTAGAAAACCTTGACCCTTTCTTTAGTTGACCAGCTGCCTATCAGAATAAAAAACCACCAAGGCTTAAAGTAGATCTATGCCAATGAGATTAAACGATCATATATCATTTGTATGTTATTCTAGTCAGATAACATATTAAAAGTTAATACCAGGCCAGGCACGATGGCTCATGTCTATAATCCTAGCACTCTGGGAGGCTGAGGCAGGAGGATCACTTGAGGTCAGGAGTTCGAGACCAGCCTGAGCAAGACCGAGACCCCATCTCTATTAAAAATAGAAATAATTAGCCAGGCCTGGTGGCATGCACCTGTAGTCACAGCTACTAAGGAGGCCGAGGCAAGTAATCGCTTGAGCCTAGGAGTTTGAGGTTGCTGTGAGCTATGATGATGCCTCGGCACTCTAGCCCGGGAGACAAAGTGAGATTCTGTCTTAAAAAAAAAAAAAAAAAAGTCAATACTTACTGAGTGAACTATCTAATAACAGGAAACACCATGCTTTACATTGGGCTCATTTAAAAAATGTGTAAGTTGTTAAACTTGTTCAACAAAATGAAAAAAAGCAAAGGGAAGAGAATATTAAACAGTGTATGAACTTGAACAAGGGGAATATAAAAAGCACAGGCCTTCGAGAGAACATGTTTAAGAGAAATTTTAAAACATCTCTTAAATTTTAATAATGTCCTCATAAAGAAAAGATTTCTATAAGCTCTCTTGACATAAAGGCTAATGGAAGGGCAGAATTTATAGCCCCAAATGATTGCTATGGGTTCTTAGTAGCGGGGAAAGTACGCAACAGAGGCAATATTAAGGTGAAGACTAATGAAGATGTGCTAATTTTATATATGAAAAAAGCCTAGACTTAATGTTTCAATATTCATTTTTGGAAATAAATTTCTATTGTGTGTGAAACGAGATCATTTTGGGCTAATATAACTAAAGTCAAAATCCAAGGTGGCAGAACACAGCATATTCAGTCTTCCTTAATGCTCAGCTCATACAGGGAAATAGATGACATTCTAGTACAGAGAAAGAAATGGAAGGTACTAGAGGCCCACCAACTTTTTTGTTTGTAAATTATCCAAAAAGCAAAAATACAAAAACAAAACCTCAAAGATATAACTTTTGTTTTGTTTCCATTTTTATAATAACACTGAGGAAGTTCTGTATAAACTACTTACTTTCACAAGCACACATGTGTCCACAGGGTTGAAAAAGAACAGCTGCTTTCTTGTCAGAGCATACCACACATTCTTCAATCTACATACAGTAAAAGAGGTTACAGCACAGAGTGAACATCTACAAATAAACCTAGTCAGTATAACAGATTTTATATGCAATGTATTTGCTCTATAAGGAAAGAGCACAGAGCACAGAGAAGTTTAATGCTCACTTTCCCCTTGTCCTCTACTCTCCTGGTTACTCATTTTCACATCTTTCCATACCCTAGCATGACAGGCACTATTTCTACGTTAATCTCCCTACATGTCCTAAAGAACAGTATAGAAAAACTCCATTTCCTCTGACGTCAGGGAGACCAGGTTAGACTTCAATTTTTTTCCCCCAAAAACTACTTTTGAGAGGAAATTAAAAAGACATGAATAAATAAAACAGTTAAAAAACTCAAATGACCAAGAGAAGATTGATTTCTAATATTAATAAAAATCTAGCCAGATTGCTAAAGTCCAAGAGGGATTTTTCTGTTTACCCACATTTAAGGAACTCTACCTATTAATAAAAGCACCTTTTTCCAGTACTTGGTCAATTCTCATGCTGCCTGAAGCCCTGAGATTTGAGCTATTCTTTCTCCCTAATCTCTAAAGCCACAAGTCTTCTACAACCTGTGCATAATTTTCCCTCAATTTTACCCCCTCCTCATGTCCACTTAGCCTGAGTTTTGAGCATGTAACTATTAACCTTGGCTCTTGCCCTTGGCTTCACAGCTGTCTTTCACCTGTTCTCCCTGCTTCTAACACACAGTCACATTTAGCTCTCTCATGTCATTTAATATTACTGTCCAAAAATGACAACAACCACTCACCTATAATGTCACCTAAACAACCAAATATTGCACGCTCTCTCTATGGCCTTTCCCAGCTTATACTTCAGTATGTACATAGAATTTGCATAATCGTAACAACAGTGGAAAGCAGTAAAACATGGTTGGTCAAGAACAGTATTTCTGGATTCAAAATCTACCTCCAAAACTAACAAATTATCTAACATTGTTGAGCCACAGTTTTGTTTTTTGTTTGTTTGTTTGTTTGTTTTACTTGAATGTCTAAGAACAATTCTTCACAGGGTGATTAAGAGCAAATCAGATATTATGTATAAAGTTGTGCTGATTTTTTAAATGATTCCCAATGCATTTGTTTGTGCACATGAATTGTTTTCAAAGAAGTTAAAATAATGTAGCAAACTGATCTAACAACCATCTACTTACCCATTCCTCTATTATTAAAAAAAACTTTGTAACCATGACTGTTCTCCTCCTGGATTATCTCCTCAGGTTATACTCCCAGGAGTAGAATTACTAAATCGAGTCACGTTGCGGTAATGGTTTATATACATGTGGTCAGGATAGTCTCCTAGCTTCCAGCAGTGTTTGGAAAGCCCATTTCCTAATTTCCTCGCTAGCATTTTTTTTTAATTTACCTTTACTAATCTGATAGGAATAGTTCATATTAATATGTAATTTTTTATTTCTATTTCTCTAATTGTTAAAGAGACTAAGCTCATTTATTCTCCCACCCTCCAAATACTGTATTTTTTTTTCTTCAATGAAGACATTCATTACTCTTTAACCACTTGGGGTCACTATTTCTTTATAGTCAAAGGCTCTGCAAGCAACCTGGCAAATCTGTCGGGTGGGTGGGTATGTTAATTTTCGTACTTTTCTAAAGGTTTGAAATTTTCATAATTTACAAAACAAATTGCAAGTCGATTAATTCTTGCAATAACTGTATTCAGAAAGTCTGAAAAAGAATGACAGCATATGGTTTCCTCTCTACCTCCCTGTTCCATCAACCCTCCCTTGTAGACATTGTTCTTAATCTTATCTGTGCATCACAACACAGTGAAAAGAACAAGGGTTTAAGAATTTAGAGACCCGTGTTCAAGAACCAGCTGTCAGTGTACTTTCTTTGAGCTTCAGCTTTTATAAGGGCCATTTCATACCTGAGACTCTGCTTTTGACAACCTGGGGTGCTGAACTCTTATTCAGTTTACATCTTTCATAAAGCACCTATAACATCCTATATAGCAAAGTAGCTTTTAAACTAAGTCATAGTTTGCCAACAGATTATAAATTTTAGCAGGTAATTATCATATACATCTTTGTCTTGACTAGAAAACAGGTGCTCAATAAAGGTTTGCTGAAACAGGGCTTAATCTAACAAAAAGTTTCGAGCACAACGGGAGAATACACAGACCAATGTAAAAACGAGAATGGCTTGAATTTTTATTCTCTCATATTCTTTCCCAAACTGTCACTTTATTGTAAGCAGGTACCTAAAGAAAATTATAAATACCAAGTAGACTAATCCACATTAATTTACTAAGCAGGGCTGATACCAATTTTAATACATATGAAATGTCAACACAGAGCCTGGCATACAGTAAGTGCTGTTAGCTCACCCTCCTGACCTTTATAAATTAAGTAACTACACACACAGTAGCACTCCAGTGTCTCCTACCAAAAGTAATTTCCTTGTGCTTTTTCCTATGCCAAAATTTTTACCAAAGATATATTCATCTGGATCATAAAAACCATCCAGGCTTAGAAGGTTGAAAATGTAAGAAGTATTGGCAAGATAAAACCTTTTAAGTCAGTGCCAGCTAATTTATTACGAGAATTAGCACCAGCTCCTTTCTAATTAATGATGGTTAATAAAATGCCAAGAGAAAAATGAAGAGAATAAAAAGGGAATGGAAAAAGAGCATATACTTCATAAGTTTATACTTCAACATATTTCTTGAGTTTAAACTACTCACCTTGAGAAAAACACTTTTACTCAAATCTCACTTTACTTACACACACACACACACACACACAATCAAGTAAGGAAAAACTAAAAAAAAAAAAAAAATCAATTATTGGCCGGGCGCAGTGGCTCACGCCTGTAATCCTAGCCCTCTGGGAGGCCGAGGCAGGCGGATTGTTTGAGCTCAGGAGTTCAAAACCAGCCTGAGCAAGAGCGAGACCTCGTCTCTACTAAAAATAGAAAGAAATTAATCGGACAACTAAAAATATATAGAAAAAATTAACCAGGCATGGTGGTGCATGCCTGTAGTCCCAGCTACTCGGGAGGCTGAGGCAGGAGGATCGCTTGAGCCCAGGAGTTTGAGGTTGCTGTGAGCTAGGCTCACGCCATGGCACTCTAGCCCGGGCAACACAGTGAGACTTTGTCTCAAAAAAAAAAAAAAAAAAAAAATCAATTATTTCAGTAAACCAAAATGAGTAAAATGGTACAGCTATAATAAAGCACTAAGATACATTGGAAAAGAATAAAACCAGAAACCCAGAAAAGAATAATACTTCTCAAACAGCAAAAGGACTCAGGAAGAGATAAAAAGTTCAGACTGGATAAAGAATTTGGTCATTACTAATTACAGGAGGACAAAACTTTATTTGCCTCCAGGTGAGACATGAAGTACATGGCACCGTTTGTACAGTTTTCTTGCCAAAAAATGTTAAGCTGACCCTAACCAAGTCATTATACCAAACTTCCAGTTTATTGGAAACACTGAGAACAGAGAAACAAGTTGAACAACACTATGATAAAACAATCAAACAAATCTAAGATGTGATATTCTACAAAAAAAAAAAAAATAAAATGAACTAGTGTTTTTACAAAAATGAATACAAAACTCAAAAAAAAGTATGATATACAAGTAACTACAATGCAAAGTAGAATTAAATGTACCTATGGTTATAGGGGGCTTTGAAAGCAAAACAATAGATAACTTATTTTTAGCTACTATACTTTAGAAGGAAACACATCAGGGCTAGAAAAAAACATTTCTTAGAGTAATAGTACTATTGAATTCAGATAATAATGAACTTGGCAAATAAATACATTAATAAGACTGTAAACCAGCAATAAATTCAGAAATTCTGAATTGATCTCTTAATAAATGTATAAATTATATATTCCTATATTTAAATCATTGGTTGGAAGAACAAAATTAAACAGACTCATGATGTCATATAATCTTATTTATCATTAATTATAGTCTCAAAAAACTTCATAAAATAATAAAATACTATATTAAAAGCATATTACCTTTGTCCTGGATTGAACTTGTTCTTTACAGATGAGGCATTTCTTGACTCGTGGAGAACATAAAGAACAGGTAGCAATATGTCCACATGGGCCAAAAAGGGTATCTCTTTTCATATCTGAGCACACCATACACTCTTCTAAGGTTTCAGAATCGTTACTAATCATAGAAGGACTTCGAGAACCCACGTGACCACTAATAAAAGAAAATATTTCAAATCAAGTCTACCAAAATATTTCTACTACAAATTAATTAAAATCTTTTAAAATACATCTAGAGTATCATTAGTATACATAAAAATAATTTTAGTTACGTTAAAAAATTAAGCTTTAACATCTGTGTGTGAAACACTGTATACTATATTTTTCTACTTATATACACCTCTGCATCTTTACGTACTTCTAGCCCGATTCAAACTTCAAATTGAAAAAACCATCACCCAGTGGAAAAGAGTGAATCTTTTAACAAAGAAATCAAAAACAGTTATAAAAAAATAATTTAACATAAACAAAATTTAACTCAGAACCTGTTCTATCTGCATAGAATCAGTAGACAAAGAAAGGCATAGGAATAAAACAAAAATCCTAACTAGCAACCATGTTAGGTATCCTAACTAAAGATAGAACTAAAGATAGCATCATCAGAGTCCACAACAGGTAAAGCACTTGGGAAAATATGACACTTTAGCTGCTGTTTTGACATTTCTTTGAGTGTGTCCTTAAGGAACATAAAAAATTCTATTATAGAAAAACAGAATGAATCTATAATTATGTAGCTATAAGCACGGAAATACATACATATGACCAAACTACAGAAAAAAGATACAGTTTCTACCGCAATCTTCAGAAACTCATGAACACACAAACACACACACACAGACGTTCCATCTTATACCCCTGCAGTCCCCCACCCCCAGTCCACAGTCTGTTAGGGACCAGACCACAGAGCTCTGCCCCACTCTCCACCTCCATCAGTGGAAAAATTGGGGGGATACACAGCAAGAGATGAATAGCAACGCTTCATCTGTATTTATAGCCACTCCCCTCCCGCCATTGCTCGCATCACCACCTGAGCTCCTCCTCACCACCCTCCCACCCCACCACCCCACTCTGTGGAAAAACTGTCTTCCATGAAACTGGTCCTTGGTGCCAAAAAGGCTGGGGACTGCTGTTATACTCCATTGTTAAAAGTTATTTGTAGTAATCATAATGCCATGTATCTGTATATTTATAAATGCATTGTCTTTTTCTTTTTTGTATTTTTTTCTGTAATAGAATTTTATCCTCTTTAAGGATAC